TTATTTTTAATTATTAAAACTTTTTCGTAAACGTTGTGAATTAACTGATTTTGTTTTGGAACAACTTCAAAACAAAAACGATTTTTTTTTTTAAGAAAGTTTTCTTTTCCGATGAGGCTCGCTTTCATCTATGTAAGTGGTGTGGTAAATAAAGAAAACTGTCTAATTTTTAGGAATATCAATCACTTTATTATCATGATACAAATGTCATAGCATGAGCTATTTTAATAGAATTATATCACAAAATACGCGGAAATGATTACCTATAAAAAATATACCTATACAAACCGATCAAATCATAAAAAACTTTTTTTTAGTGCCTGAAGAGGCGGTTGATGCGTGCAAARTGCATGTTTTGGAGCAAAAATTCTTCTTTTATAAGTTATGTCAAAGTATTCTAATACACAATGATATATAAATATAAAAAAATATTAAGTTGAASTTCGATTAGAAATACGAAAAGACTTTTTCGACTACGCAATATATAATTTACTATATCAAATATTGGAATCAATAGTCATACAAAGCGAAAACAGCGCCTTATCAACTAAATACACACACACAGCCGAAGTTACGCACACACAGATAGGCACGCACAAACGCACACAGTTCACACCAATCAATGGCAGGTACTTATAGTTAAACATTTGTAGCTGAGAGCGTTGGCGGCGTCCAACCGGCAAGGGGCGCCCCGCGCAGAGGTAGTTAGAAGGCAAGCGTTTTACGACGCTGAGGATTTGTTTGGCATAAAATATAAGCGTATGTATGTATGTTCATGCAGTTAAAAACGCAGATAACAGCAATAAGAACAAAATGTCTATAGACGACTGACTGATTTCGATTTTTGAATTTCCACTAAATGCACTGCGCCTTGTCATACATTAAACTGAGGCTTCAATAAATTTGTTTAGTTTTATTTCACACTTTATTTTCAACACTGCACTATATACGCGCGCACATACACACACACACACAAACAATATGTGTGAGAGAAAAAACAAGTTTTCGCATTGTTATCTGACCGCGACACATTTGCATGCATTTGGTAAACACAGCGCTTCAAATCACCGCCGTTAGGATCACGCCGACGGTAGTTGCGRCCCCTTGCTTCCTGCTCGCGCCGACAACAACACACCGGCCGCCGATATTCGTAACTRAAGTGRCCGCCAAGCAAAACTCTATCAATATGCAGCTAAGGTACAAAAATGAGAGTTGCTGGCAAKTCGACCGAAGTTGMGGCAGCGTGCCCGAATGTRSCAACACACACACGTACATACATATGTGATTTGTATGCCTTCGAGTGCCTTTACATTTTACCACAATYGAACGGCATTTATTTGTCATTGATTTCCTTATCACTATATCAACGTGGGCCATCMWCKACGYCGCCAWATGAGCGCTTTGCTCTCTCTCTCTCTCTCTGTGGTGAGTGTTATATTTTTACCCTCATTAATGTGTGTGGATGGATGTATGTCAGAGCCTTAATGAGACTTGCTAAACAATTGTACATTTCATAAATGTAAATAATAATAAATATGTGTCTAACTTTCTGAGGCCGAGGGTGTGTAAAGCGCGAGGGGGAAAAAGTGCGACGCAGCAACTAAACATGCACTAATTTGTCGCTACAGATGCAAGCGCTGCACGCCAGTGACCGCTTTCGGGTGTCGTAAGACGGCTGTAAGTTTTGCTCTTACAAGCAAATTTTTAGGTTTTGAAAGCACTGGATGAAGATATCGAAAAAAATTAGCATCATGCCAACAGTTTCTTACAAAGAAAATTTTGTAAATAYATATGTATATAAATTGTGTGGTATTTTATTATAGTATAATATCAACACTCTTTCTTCTTTATCGGACTTTAGTCCGCATATGACCCAAATCGAACTGAAAATACGAAAAGCGTAACTTTTTCTATAGAGCGACATCTGCCGGGCATTTTTTTCAATATTGTGTTGAAATTATTCCCTTATACCTGATTTACACATGAAAAGTCCACATTTGTCAAAAACGCTCATATTGGACCACAATAGTATATAGCTGTCATACAAGGTGACCGCTCAAACTCAAGTCCTTGTATGGAAAACATTTTTATTTTACAAGTTATCCTCAAGAAATTTTACATAAAGTATTGTCCAAGAGAACGCTACAATCTCCGAACATTTTATTCAGATCGGACCACTATAGCATATAGCTGTCATACAACCTGCTCGATGAAASTCAAGTCCTTGTATGCAGAACTTTTTWATTTTACAARATATCTTCAGGAAATTTKGTACACATTATTGTCCAAGGGAACGCTACAATCTCTGTWCATACTACATATATCTGCCATACAAAGTGCTCGTCCAAACACAAGTCCTTGT